CTTAATTATTAAATATTTATGTAAAATATTTTCCAATCAATATTATACTCGTCCAACTTTATAAAGAAAAAAATTTAGAGAAAAGTCCTAATAAATAAACAAAAAAGGTTTTTGTGGTTTATTATACTTTACAATAAACTATGTTCTCTTAAAATACATAGCAATACTTTTAGCCAAAAAAATTTTGATTGGGTATTATATTAAAAATAGTGCTGAAAAAAAAATTCTCATATAAAAAATAATGCTTTACATTTTCGGGAAAAAGTTTAACTTCAATCAGTTAAAAAAATCCATAAAAAACGATTGTCCCTACATTTGTCGATTATCAGGTATTTTCTGATGAATATTTTTGGTAAAATGCCTCACGCACACTTGATTAAATTAAAAATCACTTAAGTAATTATTTTACCAAGTGAATTTCAGCTCTAGTCGAGGAGCAAGGCCTACAGCCGCTGTTTAAAATAATCGACAGGCTTGGCGGCTGGCCGGTACTTTTGGAAGACTACGACGACGACGCGTACGATTGGAAAACATCGGTATACCGGAACCGTAGGCTTGGCTTCTCAGTGGATCACTTTATCAGCTTCGACATCGACATAGATCAGAAAAATAGCTCCAGGCGAATGATCAGTGTAAGGCTCGTCACAGTATAATACACTCACTTGCATACATTTTCGTAGTAAAAGAAAATGCTTTTCATCTGCACGCAACCCTAAGAAGTGACAAATAATTGTCTAAAATAAAGAGAAAGTGTAATCGTCAACTGAAGAAGTTGCGCGTTTAATGCAATTAAAAAAAAAAAAAAAAAAAAACATTGTCTCCTGCAGTTGGATCAAGCTTGGCTGTCGCTGCCACGCGAATACCTTGCCAAAGGACCGCAGAACGAAGTTGTGAGTGCTTACTACCGTTACATGGTCGACATCGCCATTTTACTCGGTGCAAACAGGGATCGCGCAATTGAGGAGCTCCGGGAGTCGCTGACTTTTGAAATTACTCTTGCCAACGTAAGTCTCTGTCTACATTTGTATACAATTTTTTCAATTACGCGTTGATGGAAAAATTTTTTTTCTACTCAATAATTAGATAGTGGTAACAATAATATAATAATAGTCATGGTGATGGTCTCACTATTTGTTAAATATAATAATTAATTTCGTTATTTATAAATTGTTGCATCATTGCAAACGTAAACTGTAATGTTTACTGAAAAAATATAAATTTTTCGATATTTTGTGATCGTTATACAAATTTCACGACAAAGTTATTATGCATACGTTTCAATATATTAACAATTACTTATAACTGATAACCAAAATAATTGTCAATTTTTAGATTTAAATTGTAATGTTACAATTGTACTGTACATTGAGTTATTGTGAACGAGCGATTATTTTTTTTCTTAAACCACTGAATTACTATTTTACGTAACAGTAAAATGTGAAGAGCAAAACGTGCGTAGAGCAAAATCTGATATCATGTGTACATAATGCATACTCCTTTTAAATTCCTGGCTTAACTGATGACTAGCAAATTTTACGCTCCATAGTATACGGCAGACGAGCAAGTCAAAGCGCAGAACGTGAAAAATAATGAAACAATTACGAAATTTCAGTCAAAAGTGTAATTAGAGGCACGATGATTGAAAAAACATCCAGAATTCATGATAAATGAGTTTCCAGCCTATTAACTCGGTAGAAAAAATAAATAAATAAAAATGTGTGGATAGCCTTGAAAATACTTAAACAATTTAATAAAAAATAAAACTAAGCGATTACAGCTCATTATTGGATTGATGAAACAATGTTTATAAAATATCTCAAAAATGATACCTTTGATGGTGTAACCGTTTTGATGAAGATAAAAAAAACCGATTTGTTAAATAAAAATTAAAAAAAAAAAAAAAATCCTTTGAGCTCGTGACATAATTTGCAAATTTCTCGGCAGATTTCACTGCCGAGCGAAAAGCGTCGCAACGCCACAACCCTCAACAACCCAATGACGGTAGCAGAGCTCACCGCAGCCTACCCCAGCATCCCGTGGCTCGAATACATGAACGAGCTGCTGGATCCCGTGCTCGAGATCGACGACAACGAGGTGGTCAACGTCGACGAGCCCAGCTTCGTTTCAGCCCTGGAACAGTTGCTGCGCGTTACCCCCAAGCGCGTCCTGGCCAACTACGCCGTCTGGAGAGTCGTCCGGGACTCGGTGGATTACCTCGACGATGACATCAGGAAGCGGCAGCTTGAGTACTGGAGCGAGATCACCGGCGAGACCGAGCGCGAGCCTAGGTGAGTGTGTGTTTTTTTTTTTTTTTTTTTTTTACAAATGGATTCCCAAAATAACTTGGTCGGGATAACCGGAATATACACCACACATACAGAGCAACGCTGTCTAGTCGTGCTGATTAATTCGTGTAGGATACTGATCGTCGCCGGTGACGATCGATTGCTTTGGGATGAGAATCGCTATTGCTTTGTTTCGAATGTTTGTAGTTATAGGATCTTTATTTAATTTTTGTCATAAGGTGTTGTATGTGTGCGTTTTGTTGAAAAATTTTAAAAGCAAAAAATTAATGGTTAAACGAATACAAACAATTGAGCTGTAAAGCATAGAAACTAGAGAAAAAATAAAATTTGATATAAGAAAATTCTTTAAAATTTCTTTAAAATTACACCAATTGTCTTACAAGTATTCATCCAAAACAATTCACATAATACAGCATGAACAAACTCTCCTTTCTCACGCTCTTCTTGCACCATTTCTTAGCTTCTAAGTACACGTGACACTCCACACATGCAATCAACACTGACGCTAACGTGCTTAAATTAATTTTAACTCTAATAAACGCATACATGCATCTGTTTATTCATATAATGCCGGCAATGGTTAGTTATAATTAAAGAATTTCCTTTTTCTTTTTAATTTTATAAATTATTTTCTTGAGCATTTGTGTAACCTATTTAATCTAAATTGATCTGACTTGCAAAATAAAATAGTTTGGGAGAACATAAAAAAACAGGATGCATTAATTTTAAAATTTCAATCCAGTAAAAATGTATTTTATAGTATACATATTCAAAATAATTTATGGTACATTTAAATTTATAGTAAATTGTATGTAAAATAAAACAATGAAATTTTTTATCCTCCAGAGACGTTGGAAATATTGCAAATCAAACGCCTTTGGTAATTTTTTGAATAAAAATTATGTAATCCTTACTTTAAATAATTTTGGTACCATCTGAAATACAACTGAATTTAATAGAAATGAAATTTTTTTTTAAACATTAGTATTTAACTGTTTAAAAATATATGAACCACGGCTTTAGGTGGCAAGAGTGCGTGGGCGTAGTCTCGAGCACCATGTCACTGAGCATCGGCGCACTCTACGTAAGGAAGTACTTTGACGAGGAAGCCAAGAACAACGTCGTTGAGATGGTTGCGGATATACGCAAGGAGTTCCGCAAGATCATCGAGAAGGTCAGTGTGCGTTACATGTACCCACCTGTGCCTCGACCCTTGCATTAATATTTCCATTTGTCATTTCGACGGAATGAAGCTGTGCACTGCAATCTATAATTTTCCGTCGCTGCAAATCCTGATTGCCCAATGATCGTTGTTTTCGTGAATTTCGCAAATTGCCGTGAGCTTAGGCACGATTGTTGTGGCCAATAGTCTTTTACTCGCACTTACTCAACGAAATAGAATTTTTTATTTATAAATTGTAAGGGTTATTTTTTTGTAAATGGCATACAAACATTTTATTTTCTACCTCTTGAAAAAAATGGTCCGTAAAATGTAGCTGATAGTCAAGTTTGATATTCAGGCTCAAATGCATAAATTTTATAAGAAAGTACTTACATGGATATCATTGACAAAGATGCCAAGTAAAAGTGATAGTTCTAATTAATTAAAAAATCTACAAAAGCTTATACTTACGCTCTCAATTTACATTAATAATAAAAAATCACAAATTTATCAGTCCAAATTTTTTCCAAAGAAACAATAATTTAATAATTCATTCTTTACTCTAAATGTTCTCATTACAATTTTTTTCTTACTGACTGGAGTATTATCAAATTGTTAGTTACCATAATACTCTGTTACAGTACTCAAATCAGTAATTTTTTTCCTATAGTGATGATTTAAAAAATTGCTAATTCTTATTCAGAAATTCACAATGATAATGTTTCAATAAACAGAGAATAATAGCTTTAATAGCGTGTGTGATAGCTATCGATTGTGTCAATGATTCATTTGAATCGAGAGCAATTAATTTTATCGTACAACAAAGAGTTAGAAAAAATTTTTTTAATCAATAATTGAATCTGGTGATAAATTACCCGAGTGTTTATGAAACATTTCATGTAGAGATAAAAACTTTAATTACATTGTTCACTAACTTGATGAAAAAAATAAATAAATAAATGCAGAATATATATTTATGTGTGTACAGGTCGACTGGATGGACGAGGAGACGCGAGCAGCTGCTCTTGACAAGATAGACGCGATGAACAGTTTCATAGCTTACCCGGACGAGCTGCTGGACGACAAAAAACTCGAGCACTACTACAAGGCGCTGGACATATCACCTGGACATTATTTCGACAGTGTATTGAACCTCACTCTGTTCTCTTACGCGCGGTCCATTGAACAGCTCAGACTACCAGTGAACAAAAGCGATTGGGTCATGTACGGCGACGCGGCTGTTGTCAACGCGTACTACTCACCGAATGACAATAGCATGCGTGAGTTTTTTTTCCAGGGGAGATTTTTGTATCTAATTTAGGAAACTTGGAAAATTTTTTGGGGCTGGCTGCTTACGTATTGCAAATTCCATTTTATTGATGAATGTCTAAACACAAAATGGGGGTGAGGAAATTTAATGTTTCATACCCAAATTGAATATGCTTCTTAGATGAATTAGGCTTTATATACTTTTCTGCGGAATGTAAAATGATAAATACCGTCTAAATCACAAAAATTATAAGACAAAGAAAATACTAGTCATAAGAAAGATGCATTTTTATTGTTATCTAATTGCATTGAGGTTATTTTGAGATCATAAATCACGAATTTGCAATGAGATCCCAGAAATTCAAATAAATGGACCCAACGTGATGAACGAAATTCTTCATTTTATTTGATTAATGGCAGGGGGTGTACATGTGTCTGATGAAAATCAACAATCGTAGATTCAATCAATGTAGCAAAATATATAAATCTGATTGATTCACAGAGTTTCCAGCCGGTATCCTCCAAGGCGAGTTCTTCAACAAAGACAGACCACAGTACATGAACTACGGTGCGATAGGTTTCGTGATGGGCCATGAGATCACCCACGGCTTCGACGATCAGGGCCGGCAGTACGATAAAAATGGCAATCTCATCGAGTGGTGGAAAGAGGAAACGAAAAAAAAGTTCCTCCAGAAGGCCCAATGCATTATTAATCAGTACGCAAACTATACAGCCAGTGAAGTTGACCTTAGCGTAAGTTTTATTAGCTTTATTCCCTGTAGTCGCTAAGTATATTTTTACCACTCAGATTTTACAAATATATAACTGTTAGTAGATAACCTTTGCTCTATAAATGTTTATTTTTACCACAATATGTTTTTTAACTGATTCGTCGTAAGTAGTGATTTACAGCAATCAAGAAAACATTTAATCGTTTCATTATATAATACTAAAAAAAACAAAACATTTTTTTCATTCAGATTAATGGAGTAAACACCCAGGGGGAAAACATCGCGGATAACGGTGGTATAAAGGAAGCCTATCTGGCCTACGACGAGTGGGTGCGACGCAATGGTCCCGAGGCTCAACTTCCGGGTCTTGAGTACACGCCCCAGCAGATGTTCTGGATAAGTGCGGCAACTGTTTGGTGCACGAAGCAACGCAGTGAGGCGCTCAAACTCGACATCATTTCGGACGAGCACAGTCCCGGCGAGTTTCGGGTTCTCGGGTCCATGTCCAACATGCCCGAGTTCGCCAAGGATTTCAAGTGTCCCCTGGGCTCAAGAATGAATCCCGAAAAGAAGTGCTCGATTTGGTGAAATTGAGGAGTTTATGTTGTTGTTGTTGTTGTTGTTATTGTTGACAGTTGGAGCAATGTGTGTATATTTTTGTGTCAGATGAATGATTTTGTTTCCCATTATTTGTTATTGCTTTCGAAATGGTTATGTTTATGTAGAGTATTTTGTAGGTGTATTCGTATATTTTTCTTTTTAATTTTATAAATTATTTTCTTGAGCATTTGTGTAACCTATTTAATCTAAAGTGATCTGACTTGCAAAATAAAATAGTTTGTGAGTACATAAAAAAACAGGATAATATACTTTTCAGGGTTTCGTTTTTGGATTGCATACTATAATAAATGAATTAACAGTATTTTGATGATGAAAGTGATTTTGAGAGTTAGAGTTAAGTTTGAATGTGTCATGTTAGCAGTATCAAATTTATCATGTCCTAAGCTAACTATCGTGTTTGTAAAAAATTTAAACTAGTTTTAAGTAACTTATAATTACAATAAAATAAATAATGTCGATGATAACGATTAAGGAATCATCACATTTTTTATTATAGTAATAATCAATCATCTACATTCCTGGAAAAAATTTTTTATAAAAGAATACCTGCTTATAAAATTTAAATTGTGCATTGGCTAGTTAGGCAATAGAAGGTTAATTAAAAAATGTGTACAGTCATATGTTCAAGACATTTTTAGACTTAAAAAACTAAGCATGTCTGTGTAATAAAAAATGTATTATGAGTATTGTGTCACGTATATTATAATTTTAGTATTTCGTGCTGAAAATAATAAACACTCGTGGGAAATATTTTTACTATGTGTAAAATGTGAACAAGAACCACTTAATCGTATTAATATTAATGACCAAAAAAAAAATTTATGCAAATTATAAATAAATAATTATACATGTTTTATATATGTTCTTTGTAAATAAATAGAAAACATTTTTGAGGAATGGTTGAACAAAAATTTTAGAAGATCAAAAGTTTTATACCTGTATGTAGTGTACTATATTAGCACCAAAAATAAAAAAATTACAAGAATCATTTGGCTGTATTACTATCAAATTATTTGTAAATAACAAAATAAAAAATCATGTGTATATTTTTTGGACCTAACAAATTACACAATTTTTTTATGTTAAAATCAATTAATTTGTAAAACTCTTTAAAAACAAAAAAGTTTTTATCACAGTCAAGATTTGTACAATTTACTATTTAATGATAGAAAAAAATCTCACTATAGGCACCAAAATAAAATCATTTTAATAGTATCAAAAAAGAATAAGATTGAAGTGGGTCGATAAATATTTAAGATAAGGATAAATTTTGTGAATTTTTACAGCCTGTTACAGCTTTAAAACTAATAAGAGCAAAAGTTGTAAGGTAGAAAAAATATTTTTACTTTCAAATAATAAAGTACGTCTAAAAGTTAACATTAATATATGATAATATAATAATTGCAGATATACGTATATCCGATTATCGAAAGTTTAATGGCGGAAAAGAGGTAAGGTTGGTAAAAATAAATAAAAGCACAAAACGCATGTTCAAAAATTTTTTCAATTTCATTATTGTTCATAGTTACAAGTACAAAATGAAGTAGGAAATAAATTCGGAGACTAGAGTCCTCAGTCCCCCTGATGTAGATATATTGCCATCACTCGCAGTTTATTATGGTACATACATATATAAATTTGTTTATAGATGTGTGTCTGTGTGTGTATATATTTATACGTATGCTTATGCGATCCTTTAATTATAACTATGATCGAAGAGATGAATCATAACAGCTTATTTGACAATATTTTTTTTCTTCTCATTTGTGAGGCGCGTTGCGGTTCAATTTTTTCTCAAATAAGCACACACTTGCTAATATAAAAAGGCGTGACTTATTTGCTCAAGACTTGACAAATGTCGATCTTTCAAAATCGCATCTGTGAGAAAAAAGGAACGGCAGCGATTGTTTTTTCTCTCCTTTCGCATATACAAGTTCGTATCGCACTGAACTTTGCGATACTACATAATAAATGCCTCGTATTTGGCTTGAGCGACACGCGACGATGTCGATGAGAAAAAAAAAGGAAAGCTATTCAAGTACATGGGTTTTCTTCCTTTTTCTTTCGTATATTTATTATAAGGTTTGGCAAGTTACCACTTCTCCCTTTCTCTTATTTTGCTTGCAGATATTTAAATTTCGCACGATAAACTGAAAATAACAAGAGAAAACTGGAAAAAAACGATACATCAAAAAGTGCGTCCTCTTGACTTGTATCGTATTCCGCTCATTCACATTTTAAACGCTATATAATACAAAAAAGCACATGTAGATATATCACTATTGTACAATGCAGTGAAGGTGTATCTGCTTAAAAAAAAAATTTGTTAGCCTTAATTTATGTTATATGCATTCAACAAACTTTCAATAATTTTATATACGAAGAAACTAGGCTCATATAATTTGCTTTTTTACAATTGTGTACAACAATACGATAAATGTTTAAAAAAAAAACAAAAAAAAAAAAAACACGCCAACTGTATAGATCAGTACTTTATATGGTCGATCGCACAATATTTTCGTTGAGAAAAAAGTGCTCAAAATTTGTTATAAAGTGCAAAATTACAAAAATTGCATGTAAAAACAACCCACGGTACAAGGCGTGATAGATTACGACACAGTTTCGGTGTAAAATGCCTCTCTAAAGCAATTGTAGATGTATATGAATATATTTAGGCAAAAGTGGTAGCGTAGATTTTTTAGAAAAAGTGTATACAACAATGACTCGCAATCCCTGGTTGGACATTTAAAAAATCTACGCGCGTATTTTATCGTGTGTTTTATTGCTCACGCAGATCTAGCGTCTTAAAATGATAAAATACTTTTGCAGATTGACTCCACTAAATGTATTTTCGTACAGATCAGTTTTTTTTTGTTGTTTTTTTTTTTTTTTTTTTTTGCATAATCCATCTTACACGATTTCATTGAATGATTTTCAATAACGTTTCGTACACTTTATTAAAATAGATAATAAATTACTTAATAAGAATCAATAAAAGTTTTTAAGAATTTTTTTTCCATTTGAAATATAAACCCTTGATGAGTGATAAAAAAATTTTTTTTTTGTTTTTTCGAGATTGCGACAATGACCGAGTTTGACATCAAACGACAGTCTTTTTTTAAGAAAGGCCACGCTTTGCGATTTTATATTTGAATATTTGTATCAAGTTGATTTAGCTAAAATACCATTAAAAATTTTTTATTTGATTCTACCCTCAATCAAATCACTTACAGTATGCTACAATAATAATAATGTACAATTCCCTCGATCATTTCGACTTACCTCGCGCTGACGAGGATACTAATTTATCTCGTATTTCTTACGTGTCAATAAATTCTTTGATGTTCCATTGACAATAATGTTGATATTATTTTTTATTATTATTTTTTTTTCTTCTAAAATAGCTTCGCAGTAACGAAACGCGATATTATCACGGAATCACAAGTATTGCAAAAGCTTTATCCGATCGGATGGCGAATACTCATATTATTTTCCACAAAAAATGTCATTGCTATAAATTTTATCGAATGACAAAATCATGCGGCGTACCAAAATTTCATTATCAATATCACGTTTATCCTTTTCTACTTTTTTTTCTCTCTTTCCCCAAGTTCATGCGAATAAAAACAATTGCTGAACCTTTTCTCGAGCAAACAATCGTTTCAATATATTATTTATGCACGCATCGCAGTTGCAGCGTACTTAGCCTATGTTAAGCTTAAACATTACGTTAGGTATTGTCGATTTTAACATTTTGCCCGTATAATCTCTACACAAGCACATAGTTTCAGCTTTTTGATAGTACATACACCTGATTTTCGATGATTCTGCTGTAATACCTTTCATTAAATTCGTAACGATCTTTTTTTCTTCATACATAATTATAAAACAACACTTGGTTAGTACCTGCCATTTGAACAAAAGTAACAAAAGTACAGTTTCACGTGTATGTTAATATCTGTTTTTTTTCCTTTTTTTAAGCAAAAACAAACGTTACATGTTAATCAAATCCTAACATTTAAGAAATACTGATAATAATGTGGCTAAATATATATAATTTAAACATTATAACAAGGATATATTTATACATGTATGTATATATAAATATATATTTAAAGGCTTTGTTAAGTTGACAAAATAACTTTTGGCGTTCATAAAAACATTTTTTTTTTTTTTATTAAACAATTAAACAAACCAACAAACAAATGATTTCGTTACCTTAATATTTGTACTCAACGTAGTTCAGATCAATGAATAAATAATCTAATTAATCAAAGTTAATCTCACCTCCGGAAGCATCGAAAAACAATGACATATCAGATGCATGTACTTTCAGAAACATGTGTATACCAACTGCGATTCCTTCCCTTATATTACACACATATATAGTCACAATCGAATTCTTATATCGCTAGAATTTTCGGTTCTTGCGTCGCAGNAAAAAAAAAAAAAAAAAAAAAAAAAAAAAAAAAAAAAAAAAAAAAAAAAAAAAAAAAAGAATGAAAAAAAGACAGAAAGAAATTTGCCTCGTACTGTTGCTCGTATCAAGTATAAATATGTATAAATGTATATATTTCATCATCATTGTTGTACAAACGACTAAAACAGAATCGAAACTCGCGAAACTACACGGATAATGAGGGCGTGCAAGTATGTCGGATCAGCAGTCGTTTCTTCTCCTTCTAACGTTAAACACAATTGTCCCGAGAACGAGACGACGACAACGATATGGGTCGCAAAGTTCGTCGCGGGCTATTACACTTGAACGTATGAGGAGGGCGAAGGGGGCGAGCACAAGTTGCGGCGCGATCTCGACTATTTCGACAGTTTGCTGATTACCCGGATCAAGGCGCCGTTTTCGTCTTTTAGCCTCTGGTTCTCGCATTTGAGTGTTTCCATGATCTGCAAAAACAAGCGGTAGAAAAAGCGCCGGGAGGGACGCTTGTTTAATCCTTTGTTTGGGAATTGGGTTGGTTATGTGGTTTTCATTAATAGTAGTTATTGATCCATTGTATGGAGTTTCTTTTGTTTGATCGATTGACAAAACACATCACGAAAATTGTGTCATAAAATCATTAAAAAATATAAATATATATTTAAAGGCTTTGTTAAGTTGACAAAATAACTTTTGGCGTTCATAAAAACATTTTTTTTTTTTTTATTAAACAATTAAACAAACCAACAAACAAATGATTTCGTTACCTTAATATTTGTACTCAACGTAGTTCAGATCAATGAATAAATAATCTAATTAATCAAAGTTAATCTCACCTCCGGAAGCATCGAAAAACAATGACATATCAGATGCATGTACTTTCAGAAACATGTGTATACCAACTGCGATTCCTTCCCTTATATTACACACATATATAGTCACAATCGAATTCTTATATCGCTAGAATTTTCGGTTCTTGCGTCGCAGCTACATGTACGTAGACGTATTCCCATTGTTTCGCACAATATAAATAAATCACAAGTCCGTTTGCGTTTTGTGAGGATTGTCTTGTGTTACATACGGCGCACACCAACGTGTGTACCCATACACGTATAAATATCGATTTGCTCGATCGTTACAATAATGTAAGAATAATAGCGACAATCAAACGACAAAAAAAAAAAAAAAAAAAAAAAAAAAAAAAAAAAAAAAAAAAAAAAAAAAAA